TTGGATCTCTAAGGAGGTGCTAATTTAGCCTCTGCCTGAGGCTACCCAGCAGGAGCTATGGAGAGATCTGCAGATTCCTCTTCTTTGTTTGGGGTTTGGAGGTGCCCAGATGAGGCCCAGCTGTGAAGCAATGCAAGCTGCTGTGGGGCCTTGGGCCTTCTCTTGGAAGTTCTGGGTCTGTCTGGCCCAGCTGCAGTTTGTTTGGTAATTTTCAGATTGCAAAGGGCCAGGGCATTCATATGCAAAAGCCTCTGCTGCAGCTTGGGTAGGGCACGGTCTCAAAGAATCAACAGGGCGGAGCAAGCCGCTATGGCTGATCCTCAGCCCTGCCCTAAGGGGCCGTGGGTCTTAGTGTCCCGGTAATTGGTGCAAGCACCTCTGAGAGGAAGCCGCCCTGAGTTCCAACCGATGTCAGACAGTCCAGTTTCTCCCTGTATGAGTCTGGGTCCCCAGAGACTCACCCGGAACTGGAGTTCAGAGCAGTCAGGGGCTTGTGACTCCCTCCCGATTCAAAAAGACAGCCGTGTCCTCAGTTACCAGCCTATGCCGTGTGTGCCTCCGTACCTCTGTACTTTACTTCCGCACCTCCTCTGAGTCTCAGTGTGCTTTTCTCTTTCATTCTAGTTGTAGAATTTCCACTCAGCCAGCCTTCCTGTGGTTCTGGATGATGTCCGTTTTGTCTTTTAGTTGTATTTTTGAATTTGTTGTGGGAGGCAGCAATTTCCGGTGTTTACCTATGCCACCATCTTGGTTTCTCCCTTCCAGGAAGTTTTTGATTTCTTTCTTGATCTCTTTGGTAATCCCTTCATTGTTTAATAACATGCTATTTCACCACCATGTGTTTGAATATTCCTGAGTGCTTTTAGTTGATTTCTAATTTCTTGCCATTATGATCTATGAAGATGCTTGATATGATTTCAGTCTTCTTAAACTTATAAAGACTCCTTTGTTTCCTAACATGTGGTCTATCTTTGAAAATGTCCCATGTGCACTTGAGTAGAATGTATGTTCTGTAGCTTTGGAATGAAATGTTCTGAAAATGTAATTCCTTCTCGTCTAGTGTGTTGTTTTGGATCGCTGTTTCCTTGTTGATTATTTGTCTAGAACATCCATCTAGTGATGTAAATGCATTGTTGAAGTCCTCTACTGTGATTGTATTGCTGTCCATCTCTCCTTTCAAATCCTCCAGAAGATTTTTTATATATTTGTATTTGGTGCTGTATTGATTTCTTTAGTATTGTAAAGTGGACTTCATTGTCTCTTGTTATGGCCATCACTTTGATGTCTATTTTGTCAGATATTATTGTTACTAGCCCAGCTTTTTTTTTTTTTCAATTTCATTTGCCTGGAAAATTTTTTCCATCCCTTCACTTTCATTCTCTGTGAGTCTTTTGATCTGAGGTTAGACAGCTTAGGCTCATTTTTTTCTTATCCATTCAGCTACTCTGTACCTTTTGAATGGAGCATTTATGCCATTTACATTTAAGGTTATTATTGATAGGTACTTATTTGTTGCCATTCTTACTCTGTATGCCTATGTTCTTCTCTTTCTTCTTCTTAAACCATTTCTTTTAGCATGTACTGCAGTGCTGGTTTGGTGGGAATAAACCCGTTTAGACTTGTTTTGTCTGCTAAGCCTCTTTATTTCACCTTCAATTTTGAATGATAGCCTTGCTGATTAGATTAGCCTGGGTTCATTCTCTTGGTTTTCATTACTTGTTATACTTCATGCCACTCCCTTCTGGCCTGAAGTGTTTCTATTGATAAATCAGCTGACAGTCTAATGGGAGCACCCTTGTAGATAACTTTCTGTCTCTCTCTTACAGACTTTAAGATTCTTTGTCTTTAATGTTTGCCATTTGAATTATTATGTGTCTAGGTATGGGTCTTTTGAGGTTCCTCTTGGCTGGGACTCTCTGTGTTTCCTGAACTTGGGTGACTTTTTCCTTTACCAGGTTAAGGAAATTTTCTGCCATTGTTTCTCCAGTTTCTCTATTAGTTGCTTGGATTCTTCTCTTTCTGGTACTCTTATAATGAGAATGTTGTTTCATTTCATGCTATCTCACAGCTTCCTGAAACACTCATCCTGCTTTTTAGGTTTTTTTCCTACTTGCTGCTCTGAATGTGTTTTTTTCAACCCTAACTCCTAATTCATGGGTTTGGTCCTCAACTTCTTCTAGTCTACTCTTGAATCCTTCCAGGGTGTTCCCTATTTCAGCTATTGTTCCTCATTTCCAATTGATTCTTATTTTTCCAAACTCTATTTTCATATTGGTGTAGCTCTCAATAAACTCCATAAATATTCTCCTTAATTTCCTTATAATTCTCATTACCTTGCTGGTAGTTCTCACTGAATTATTTGAGCACCCTTATTGCATTACTCTGAATTCTTTAACATATTGCTTGCCTCCATTTCATTTAATTACTTTTCTGGCTACTCCTTTTCTTTCATTTGGGGTTGTTTCTTTGTCTCCCCATTTTGCTGCTCTTTTGTTTCTGTTTCTATGCAGTAGATCAAACTGCTATGCCTCCCAGACTTTGTGAGGTGGTCTTATGCAGTAGGTGTTTTGTGGGACCCAGTGGTGCAATTTCTTAGATCTCCTGAGCTGGTTGCTTTAGGAAAGTCTCTTGCTTGAGTTATTTGGGTTCTCCTATTGTAGTTGTGTCTTGAATGTTATTGTTCCGTTTGTGGATGGAATCTCCTCTCAGGCTGGCTGACTATGTGGTTCACCACTGACCATGTGAAGGGAGCAGTTGTTGAGGTGTGGTCTTCAGGTGTTTTCTCTCCTCTCTTGTTATAAATCGCCTCCTCAGCTGGAATTCAGTTGGTAATTCCAGGTGAATGTTCTCCAATTTAGTTATATTTCCAGTCTGGCCCTGGGCGGAGGTACATGACAGGTCTGCCTATTCAGCCGCCATAATATTTGAAGTATTTCCTTCAAAGTAATGAGTGTCACAATTTTAGTTTACAGGAGTTTTACATAGTTCTTTTACAAACACACAGAACACTTTTATAGATTATTTTATCCTCTCAAGTAGATATTTTACTATGATAAGGAAAAGATTAAGTGTTTTAAAAAATTGTTTTCACCGTAGCTTGTTTGGCTCAGTGAATAGAACATCGGCCTGTGGACTGACGGGTCCCAGTTTTGATTCCAGTCAAGGGTACATGCCCAGATTGCAAGCCCAATCCCCTTTGGGAGAGGAGGGGACATGTGGGAGGCAGCCGATCAATGATTCTCATCACTGATGTTTCTCTCTCTCCCTCTCCCTTCTCTGAAATCAATAAAAACATTTTTTTAAATTGTTTTCATATTGAATTATCCAAATATTTGGGATTTAAACTAGTTGCATATTGGATGGTGGTGTTAGTATTGTCAAGAAAACAAAACTCAAAATTCTGGTTGTCTGGGATCAGGGAAATCAGATAGAAGTGGGTTTTGAGCACTGGAAGTTTGAAGTGTGTTCCATGCAGTCTGGAAAGTAGGGTCATAATGACTCAAGGATGAACATCTATGCTGTAGAGACAGTTAAAAGAGTGTGAAGTATAGCACAGGTAGGCATGCTTCTCTTTTTTATCTTAGTGCCAGTGAAAGGAAGCATCTGGTTGAGAGAAATTTTTAAGTAGATTTCAGAAAAACTGAGTCAGGATTCAAAAACTGTAAGAACAGATTTTACCTATACCAAGGGGCTGATTGAAGAGGAGCTTTAAGAAAGAACCTATCTCATGAATAGAAGGAAGGATAAACTGGGAATTCAGACAAGAGATGATATTAACATTGTATGTAAAAACAAGACTATATTTAATTCCTATGCATGTATTTAATTATATGCAAAGGACATTCAGTTTATACTGGCTTTTCACTTTTAGTAATAATTGATATTGTTGCCGAAACCGGTTTGGCTCAGTGGATAGAGCGTCGGCCTGCGGACTGAAGGGTCCCGGGTTCGATTCCGGTCAAGGGCATGTACCTGGGTTGCGGGCACATCCCCAGTGGGGGGATGTGCAGGAGGCGGCTGATCGATGTTTCTCTCTCATCGATGTTTCTGACTATCTCTCTCCCTTCCTCTCTGTAAAAAATCAATAAAATATATTTTAAAAAAATAATAATAATTGATATTGTTATTGTCCAGGATGGCCTGGGGAAGGGAAAAAGAAAAGACAGACCCTAAGAACCCTGTATTTAGTAAAGAAACCTTGATCCTTTAGTAGGAGAATTGTGTAATTAAGCAACTCTAAAGTCATTGAGAACATTCTGTCCAAAAGCTTCTCAGAGTTCTGTTTTATTAGCTCTCTAAAGCAGTTGAAAATGCTCTCGATTCTGTACCTTGAGTTAGTTAAAACTGGGACTGAAAACCATCAGTCATGAAACTTTCCAAAATTAAATGTTTTCTTAGGGCCAACAGGCTGTTTTTATCTCTGGGAGTTTTGGAGTTGTGGTAGAGATATTTCTCATTTAAGTGTTATACAATGACACCAAATTATTTTATTTGCCTTAAAGCTCCTGAACTGCTTAACTTTTATTTGATCTATGTAAATCCGACCATCAGTTTGATGATAGAAGCTTTACATCTGCCATGCAAGTTTTTTTAAAACATGCCAAGATAGAGACTTAGTTACACTCTTTTTAAAAATAAATACCAATATATTTTGTATTTCAGGGCATTTGATGTAGAACTGCTTTACATAGCACAGTTCTTTAAAATTCCAATAGCAGAAATTGCTGTCAATTGGACTGAAATTGAAGGTGAGTACTATATATTTAACTGATCTTAAGAGGGGTGGGGGAAACATGAGAAAATACAGTTGTCCAGTAAAGTCAGCTGGCTATAATGTTCCTCCTTCCTCCATCAGGGCCTCCTCAGCTGTCTTAACTCTGAGCAGCAGTTCCATAGAGCACACTGCTTTCTATGTTTTTTCAGTCTTGGGGTCTTCGGTAGGCCTACCGTCCTGCCCAAGAAATTCAGTAAAACTAGCAACAAAAGACAAGATCTGAGGTTAGAAGCGAGGTGGTTTTTTTTCTTTTTCTTTCTTTTTTTTTTTTTGACTACAGAAATTTATTTTTCACAGTTCTGGAGGCTAGGAAGTTTGAAACCAAGGTCTGGCAAGAAAGGTTTCACTCTGAGGCCTCTCTCTCTTTTTTTAAAAAAAATATATCTTACTGATTTTTTACAGAGAGGAAGGGAGAGGGATAGAGAGAAACATCGATGAGAGAGAAACATTGATCAGCTGCCTCCTGCACACTCCCTACTGGGTATGTGCCTGCAACCAAGATACATGCCCTTGACCAGCCTGGGACCTTTCAGTCCCCAGGCTGACGCTCTATCCACTGAGCCAAATCGGTTAGGGCTGAGGCCTCTCTTCTTGACTTGTAGGCAGCTGCCACCTTGCTGTGCTCACATGATTTATTTCTTGTGCACACACAGGGAGCTTGATTGTCTTTTGAGATAAGCTATTATTTTTATCACCATTTTTTTAGTATTGTATTATGTCATCACTCAGTGATGGCCATATTGCAGGGCCATCTGAAATTTTCTCTTTAAATCAGTGATGGCGAACCTATGACACGCGTGTCAGAGGTGACATGCAAACTAATTTTTTTTGGTTGATTTTTCTTTGTTAAATGGCATTTAAATATGTAAAATAAGTATCAAAAATATAAATCTTTGTTTTACTATGGTTGCAAATATCAAAAAATTTCTATATGTGACATGGCACCAGAGTTAAGTTAGGGTTTTTCAAAATGCTGACACGCCGAGCTCAAAAAGTTCGCCATCACTGCTTTAGATCCTCCCAAATTTCAGTTCACTTCAGGATGTTTAGATTTTCTTGTTTTTCATAGAAAATACTTTAACATTGAAGATGTTTAATTCTTATGTCCATCACTTATAAATAAGGTGGGTGTGTTCATTAACTTGATTTTGGTAATCATTTCACAAGATATATATGTATGAAATGATTACATGGTACACTTTAAATATATTTCCATTTTATTTGTCAGTTACACCTCAGTAAAGCTAGGAAAAAATAAAGAGAAAGAAGCCAGAGCGCTTGGCCTTAAATCTGAAAATTGTCAGTTTTATTAGTATTGTGATTGATCTTGGCCATGTCACCTTACCACCCAGTATCCATGACCTAATCTGTAAAATTGCAGGGGTGGCAGGGAGGCTCTATTCCTGATATACTAAAAAGACAGTGAAATCAAGAAATATAAAATATTAAAACATGCTCAGATGTGTATTTTATATAATTAGCTGGGCTTGGCACATTGCCATTTGGATATTACAGGACAAGAAGATGGCCTAGCTAGGGTGGCATTTATTTTAGCTGATTTTAGCCTTTGGTAGAATTAGGACAAAAATTAGGTTTTTGTCTTAGATTTCATATTGCAGATTATTAATCTAGACTTGTATTATTTGTGGAGGTATACTTGATTCTCTGTAGTACATATGAGCCTGAAAAATGGTGTTTAAAACATGAAAATTTCTCCCCCCAAAATCACTTTTAAATGAACAGATGGACATAAGTGTTTAACATATATGCATAATATAAATAAAATTAAGGTGCCTATAAGCTCCCAAAAGTCATGTAGACTGACTTCTAAAATATAATTGTAAATGTATATATTTTTTGAGTTTAAATCAATTTATTTTTAATTGTTGTTTAATCGCAGGTTCTAAATTAGTTCCATTTTGGAGCTGGCTACAAATGGGCAAGGACCTACTTTTTATACGACTCCGATATTTGACTGGTGCCTGGAGGCTTGAACGAACCAGGAAAATGAATTAGGTTATTTGCTATTTTTTATTGTATTATGTATTATTGTAACATTATTTCATTTGAATTAAAATTTTAAATAAAGCTGAGATAAGCCTATGCCATTGTCTGCCTTTTGATAATTTTCAAGAATTCACTGCCAGAAGTAAAAATTTTTATACATCTTTTGGACCAAAACAAATTTTAAGGTATTTGTAACAAAAGTCAGATTCTCTTTTGCTTTAACAATTCTGTTTATTTAGATTATCACTATGAGTCTGAGAAATATAATTTTTAAGTAAGACAGAAGCAGTTATTTCTGCTCTAAGGTACCGTGCATAATTCTCACAAACTTAAATATAAACCACAACCATGTAACGGTGTTTAGAGATTTAAAAATAAAGTTAACAGCTCTGGCCAGGTGGCTCAGTTGGTTGAAGCATGGTCCCATGCACCAAAAAAAGTTTGCTGGTTTGATTCCCAGTCAGGGCACATATCTAGGTTGCAGGTTCAATGCCTGATTGGGGTGCATACAGTAGGCAACCAGTCGATGTTTCTCACATTGATGTTTTTCTCTCTTTTTCTTCTTTCCTCTCTAAAATCAATAAAAACATATCGTCAGGTGAGGATTTAAAACAATAACAAAATAAAGTTAATATATATTTATTTTTATTTTTTAAAGGCATGGAAATATGTGATTTATTTTTTAAATCATTATTTTTCAATTACAGTTGATATACAAAATTATATTAGTTTCAGGTACACACATTAGACAACTTACTGAGTGATCATCCAATAAATCTCATCCCATCTAACACCATACATAGTCATTAGAATATTATTGATTATATTCCCTATGCTATACTTTACATCCCCATGACTATTCTATAACAACTAATTTGTACCTTTTAATCCCTTTTTCATTCATCCTCCCTAACCCCTCCCATCTGGCAACCTTCGAAACGTTCTTTGTATCTACAAGTCTGTTTCTATACTGCTTCATTTGTTTTGTTTTGTTTTCTTTTCTTTTCTTTTAGATTAAAGTGTTGATAGATATGTACTGTCATTTTACTGTTCATATTTTTCTGTCTATATTTTCTTTTTTTTTTTTTTAAATATATTTTATTGATTTCTTACAGAGGGGAAGGGAGAGAA